CGTTAATCATTTACAAAATATGTATTCCGAATTTTATACCCCCACCAATACAATGTATCCCCCCTGCTTCGGTACCCTGAGTACAATACTAGCAATGTATATACCCGGATACAAGAGTCAGCATTTTACGGGAAACATGCAATTAGACATTGAACCTAGCTGCACCAAAATTTCACGGAATTTCTCGATTTTGATTGGCTAAGAGCGACGATCAATAATTTAGACCAAAATTACTCAAAATTTTACTAATGAAACCACAGCCGCACATGGTATATTTATAATTATTTGAAGATATAATAGATGAGTTAGGAACTTGAAACTATTATGACATAGTGAAGCTTTCACTTATCGCTTCTTCCCTTAAAAAATTATCATATTCGCATCGCCTATATATTCTATTCGCTACTTTTTGCATGTTTTGCAATATAGGTATGAATGATGATTGCATTCGTCACAAACCTTATACCCGTGCTTCCACCCTTTAAAGATATACCACTTTTCGATATAATTTCAACTTCTTTTATTTGTATTATTCTACATTTGTATATTAATAGAAAAAATAATATACACATGGTTATTTTTTTTTATATATGTGTACAAACCTGTAATTAGTGTACTTGCATTTATGCCCTATCTTGTTATAAGCCTCATAAGGCAGGAGAATTTTATGAGGAAAAAAAAAGGTAAGCCATTAAGCAGTAACATTTATAGAAGTACATGAGTTTAAAAATAATTGATAAGCATATACATTGACTTTATTTATAGAAACGATAAGCATGTTTAGATAATGTTAAAATATGGAAAAACTTCGGCAAGTGTGACCAGGTGGTCACAATTGAGTAAAAATTTGATATTCATCAAAATCGAAAAATTTTCGGTAACTGTGACCAGGGCGGTCACACTTGAATAAAATTTGACGCAGTAAATTTCATTGGCTCGCTTTTAAAATCTTAGCTTTTACATAATCAATATCATCCACGCCCAGTCTCGAAATAGTTGACGCAGAAAAAGACTTAATACAATATATCTTTCCTTCTCCTCCAACCCCATCACATAAATTTTACTCTTGAATATGTCTACCTCTACTTCCACATCAACTGGTCCTATTAATAATATCAAAAATCTCACATATAATATTCTAAAAACCTTCAAGGATGGCATTATTAAGGGTAAAAAAAATTACAGAACTAGGGCCATGCTCCGAATGTGACAATGATATTTTAATATCTCCTCTCAAAGCATTCATATACCTAGCATGCAGACACCTTTTTCATAGACTCTGTATCGAAAAAAAGCTTTTACTTACTGTTTCAAACATATGTCCATTCCCGGGTTGTGGAAAGAATGTGGAAATATTAGATCAAGCCAATCACCTTGGTACTGTTTCCAATTTGCCGTTAACTAATCCCAAGGAGGCCTCCCAATCAACTGAAATTTCACCTTTGATGGGCGAAACATTCGTCCTATCTTCACCACCTATACGGATACCACCTATATAGATGGAAGAGATCGAGGATACAGCAACCCAACAAGTCAAAAGTAATTTGAGGTGTGCCAAATGTTCTGAAGATCTTTCTTCATGTCTCCTACCTATAGGCTTTCTTCGGTTCTCTCCTCAACTTCAAGGCCCCTTGAAACTACTCATATACTTAACCTGCAAACATATCATCCATTACAATTGTATCAATAATCCACAAAAACTATGTCCTATATGTCCATCAACTAATATGAAACTGGAAGAGGAAGAAGAAATGAATGTTGATGGCGAAGAACAACCTGATACCAGCAGTAAAAAACATTCTAATGAAGGTACGGACGTCAACTCATCTACACCCAAGAAGAAGGCAAAGAAAGCAGTTAGAAGAGAAGATTCGCCTATTTTGAAAAAGCTTATCAAGGAATTGTCCGCTCCAATTCCACAGCAAAGCTCTTCTGGTAGTATTATTTCTCTACAAACATTCCCCGATATGGATATTAGCTCGGTTAATTTTCATGGACTAGATAATAAGATCATCAATGCCAAAGATGGGGTCGTCTAAAGCAGAGACACATCATGTGATCAACAGCCAATCAAATGATAGAATTTTGATGATCACCAGCGAACAAAAAACAAAAAACCCGAAAAATACAAAAAACGGCAGTCTAAACCTACCTCGGGTAGGTTAATCAAAAATGTCGGG